AGTTGAGCTCAATGCTGACAAAATTGACTTCTGATTGCTATTTTCAGAAGCATCCTCAGAATCATGATGACTTTCTTTCTACAACGCAGAAAGTTACCTCTAAAAATTAAAAGGTCAGGTTCAACTTTATAAATGTGATCCCCTTTTACTTTTGCATGCCCACGCATGCTAAATGTAGTTGAAATTTCAGTTTCACAAAGTATGACATGCCAAATGACATGATTATTTAAGCTTTGGGAGAGGGATTGTTATTAGCTGAAATTAAAATGCATGGTTGCCTATTATTTTATATTTTCTAAGGGTGGAAATCTCAGTGGGAAACTAGATTATCCGAACAACAAAATGCTAAACCTAAACAGTCATTCAGTACTTTTCAACTGAAATCAGTGTCTGTAGACTGTATTAGGCCAAGTAGGTGCTGTTTCCTTCTTCAGGTCCTCTGAAATAATATGTCATTAGGCAGAACAGGGGGATCCAATAGTTGAAATACAGCTCAATCATGATTGTAGAGAATGACCTTCAAGTGTTACCATCTCTGTGATTCAGCCACTATCCTCCATTCCCTTTTGAACTTACAGTAGAGGTAACTGAGCCTTTGGGAGTAGTATTATAACAAAGATGATAAACAAAACCTTTCATTCTAAATATATAAATAATATTTCTTGCTACTATGGAAATAGATTGGGATTTATTCTCAATATTATGATTGAGAATAATATGATTATGGTGCTTTTTCAAAAGGCATCTGGACTTTGTTTTTCTTTGAAGACGTTTTGCTTTTCATCCAAGAACCTTCTTTGATTATGACTGAGGATAGAAGAACTGAAGCCAGAACTGAAGAATTTCCTTGGATGAGAAGCAAAACGCCTTCAAGGAAAAACAAAATGCAGTTGCCTTTTGAAAAAACACCTTTGGGACAACCATGACTTGGATGACAGAGAATCTCCATAGACATTATGATTAAATGGGATCGTATGGAGAAAAGTCAGTAGGAACAAAACAGGTGAGAAAATCACACACACACAGAGCATGGGAAATTGTTTCTAGTTATTTCTATTTATTGGCATTAACACATCACATTTTGTATATAAATACTGTATATGACTAGATGAGCTTGCCTAAACTCAAGTAACATAGATTGTATCTAAAAAATTCAGATGGGCAGCATCTTGCTTCGTTTTTAATATGACTTTTGCTAATCTCCAAGAGATCTTTGAGGTTTTAACTGTAATAATTGTAACTTTGTTCTTCAGTATAAAACTATTATAACATTTGCTGTATCTTGGGTCAATTGCTTTGATGCTTCATGCATCACTTCATGAATTTTTATAACCATCATTGAGGTGGTCTGGTGGTAAGTAGTATAATGCTGGCATAAGACCAGAATATCAAATGGAAGAATGAGACTCTAAGTATTTAGTAAAAATGGATACTGACAGACAAGATTACAAATAACTGAAAAAGAAAGTATTGTTATCTGGAAAAATATATTTGGCACTCTTCTCACTGTCAATCATGTGGTTGGCACAGGATTTAAAGCAGAATGAGTGGTTTTACTTGGCTCTAAATATGAGTTTTAAAACAGATGTTGGTTGCAAAAGACGTTTTAAAAATCAGGAATCAACCTACCTTCACATTCGTGAAATTTTAAAAGTGAACGATCTAGTGTGACTCATTATTATAGTAGCAATTCATATCAAAATGACTGCATTAAAATCAAGCATTAAGAAGGGATATTGCTGCCTGTTCTTCTAGCCAGTCTGGAGAAAATAACTTTGTAATTCTACTCTTCAGCTCTTCATCCAGGTCTACAATTGTGGGACTGAATCTACTTTTTGTCATATTGAAATCAATGCCAGCAGAGTAAGGGAGAGGTTTCTGCTGCATATAGTAAAAATACTATTAACACCATGATGAAGGGAGCAACCCTCCCTCCCAAATGGGGCTTCCCAAAGCTGTAAATCAGCTTTGCTAAACTATATCTCTAAAAGTGTGGTGTAAACTCTCAGAATTCCTCACCACTCTGGGCAACAATCATCCCAACAAGGAATTCTGTGATAAAGAAGTCCAGTAGCACATCTGGAAGGACTATATTTGTGGTTTAGGCTTGGATCAATGGAAAGGAGTGATCTGCATTATATGCGTAAACAGCAAAGGAAGAATTCATACTATTCCTCCAGAAAACAGAGGTGTCGAGTGGAAAAAAAATATTTTAAAAAGCTCATTAGATTTCAAAATAAAATCTTGGTGTCTCAATATTATATTACAGATTTTATTTTCTATAAAGCAGTGCTTCTAAGTCAGGGGTTCCCAAGTGGGTTCACAGCCCACTACCAGGCTGCAAACCTGTTTCAAACTTCTTGGATGAGAAGTGAAATGTCTTCAAAGAAAAACCAGAAAGTCCAGTTGCCACTAGAAAAAAAGCACCTTTGAGACAACCACGACTTGGATGACTGAGAATCTCCATAGACATTCGGGCAGCTTACAATACGAAAAATTACTTACAACAGTAACTTTCACTAAAGCAGTTTTCTTCTGTCCTGTTGATAAGTACACTCGTTTATTTAATTTGCTTTTATATAGGGAACTCTTGATTTACTCAAATAGTGGGGAAATTGAGTATCCATTAAAGCACAACATCCAAATAAGATTTCATGCATATGTATTTTATGGATTTCATGCATGTGTGAACCTGCAAACGAGGTTGTGATTTGATTTGATTTAATTTATTCAATTTAGGGTCCACCTGATTCCAAACTGATTCTGAGAGGTGGTATAATAAAACCAAACAAAATATAAAATACACATAATACAATATGATAACAAATACATAAGGGAATAAAAAAAAAGATTTACACATATTCAGAAGCACAGGAACCCAAGCAGAGACTTTTTTAAAAAAATGGCTCATTGGTGCTGCAAAGATCCAGATGCCCACTGGATTGGGACAAACTACGTATCGAAAACTCTAATTCTTTGTTCCATCCATCTAGTGTTCATATGAAGTTTTGCAGCCCTGATTCTGACAGTCTTGGTACCTTATTTCCACAATGATATACTGGTGCAGCAAATTATAAAAGTTTCTTTGATTTGCAGAATTGAAAGAATAAATAAAACCTGATATACTGAGAACAAAAGTCAGTACAAACACTGTGTGGGATATGCAAGAACCACTAAACTATCCCTAAGCCTCAAAAATAGTAATTGTTCCACTGTAACTTTTCAGCCAGAATTTGTGGAGCTGGATCAACAATATGGTAACTCTTTGGCTAGTACTGTATAATAAACTTTACACTGCATTCTGGATTTCTGCACACATTTGCACATGTACATAAAAAACTATTTATGTTTACATATCACAATGTATTTGGGAGAAATAAGATATATTACTGGGGCATCTGTCCTCAAAGAAAAGGACCTGACTATTTAGTTGCGTTCTTTTGCTCCCATCAATGAGCTAAGCTTTTGTGTAGGAAAAGATTATATACAAATGATTTCCAAAAGGTAAAGTTATGCATAGTTTTTATTCTTACTGTTGGTCAAATTTTGCTAATATAACCAACTCCTCTCTCACACACAAATGCAAGTATAAAATTCCTGAGAAAGTAATAGAAATTGTATTTATTTATTGAATTTTCATGCTGCCGATGTTACTGATATGTGAAAATTACTCAGGTACTTCTTTCTAACATCAGTTCTTATGATACAGCTTTTTAAAGATACATATGCCAGACATCTGTTCTTTTCCAATACTGCATACATATTCTATTTCTGTGCACTATTTTTCTGAACTGTGTTTTTTCAATTCTCTCCCTTGCAAACAAGTGAGAGTTTTTCAAAAGTTTTTGACCATGGAAATGTAGATGCAAGTAGATTTTATTCAATGCTATAGTCCTTGAAATGAATAGAGGCTATTCTGACAAATCTCATAAACCTATTATCTTAAAAAATGCACAAAGGATTTTTTAATGGCTTAAGGCAGGAACAAAAAGAACTGTGCTGCACGAATCACCATGTGTGAGATTCTGTTTAAAATATTGGTGCTGTCATCCCCGAGACAATGGATTCTGAGTAAATAGCTGACAACTTGGGTTTGTGGGATAATGACAGAATAGCTTTTATTGTAACCAATCATTGAACTCTGGGGACATTTACTTTTATGGTTTCTGCAGCTTTGGGGGAAGATTGAATTGAACTCTTAGACCAGGATCAGTAACCAGCAGCTTATGGGCTGCAAATAGCCTCAACTTGAAGTTTGTCTAATTCACTAAATATACTTTAGTTGACTTTTCTCCTTAGGATGCTGAAAATACTTCCTGCCAGTAACTGATAGAGAAAATTACAAGGCACCATGTTCATATAACTAACCTCTTTTTTTCCCTCTGGGCAACATGATTGATTGATGTCTGGTTTTTTTAAGCAGGCATGGGAAAACTGTGTCTTCAGTATATTTTCAACTCCCCCAAAGTCCCAACCTCCAAGGTTATAAGTCACAGAATAGCGACAGCAATAGAACTTAGATTTATATACCACTTTAGAGTACTTTACAACCCTCTCTAAGCGGTTTACAGAGTCAGCATATGGTCCCCAACAATCTGGGTCCTCATTTTTACCGATCTCAGAAAGAAGGAAGGCCGAGTCAACCTTGAGCCACTCAGAATCGAACTCTTGGAGTGAGCAGTGAGCTAGGCTGCAGTACTGCATTGGAGCATTATCAGAATCTTATTTAATGAGACTAACAAATATTGGATGTTAGTAGATGTATATATCTGCAAAGAGATAGAACTTTTATTAAGTTTTTCATATGTCTACTGCAAAGGCTATTCCACAATTTGTACAGAAAGACGCTTTTCTTGATTCTATTCTGTCACTGAATGTTTGGTTTTTATTTTCAACTTTAAACTTTGCTGCAAATTTTAAAATAAAACACACAAAAATTATTTCATGCCACTTAAAATTTATTTATTTCATGCTGCTTAAAATTAGAAATAAATTGTTACCATTAGCAGGAAGATAGGTGAAAAGTTGGTACTGGCTTCTCTTTCTCTTTCCATTGCAGACATAGAAATTGACTTGGACAGGACTTGTAATTCTCTGATTGCGGAATGGTGGAATCTCAGCAACTAATAAAGTCTAAAAAGGGGATAAAAGTATGTTAGCGGTGAATCACAGTTAAAGAACATTTGAATCAGAAGAATAAAGCAAACAAATGCCCCGGAAGGCACTGAAAAAGGTAAATGACCTTGCCTTAAGAATACTGCAACATAAGATTAGTCCTCTAATCATTACCATTTCTTGAGGGCATATCCTCCTAAAAAAACCTCCTATCATGCAGCTGTCTTACTGCTGAGACAGGCTAAAATTTGATCAAATAATCCAACAGGAAAGATCTTCTATGGGAAAAATAACATCCTGAGATTAAATTGGGTTGGAAACCTGTTGAGCTTCTACTCAGTATCAGACCCAACCTCCCATCAGACTGAGGTCTTTGGAATTCCATGGCCATAGTTACTATGGCTGTCAGGGTGCACTATGCAACTTCTTCTGCAACCTTTCTTTTTCTTATGCTATTTTCAGAATGTAGTATAGGCCTTGTAGAAGACCATGTAAGACTTCCATGAGCTTGACAATCCTCACAGAATTTGTGCAGAAAAGTAAAGGAGGAGGATACAGAAGTGATCTTAAAGGCTTTCTCCAAACCCGACAGCAATGATGAGCCCGACTGTAGGCAGGGCCCTTGGTAGTACAGCTCCAGGGTTGTGACTGCAACTCCTACACGGCTCCTCAGTATTGAAATGGTGCTTCTCTCATTTTTGCTTGATGCTCCAGAACTAGAAACCTTTGGGATCCCTCTTTCATCTACCCCTCTTCTCCCCTATATAATCTCATCTATGTTAACATGGCAGAACCTCGATACATTTGGCTACTCTGGTGGTGGCAGTTCTGGTGCTTTCTTGCATGTAATCGTTTAAAAAGGATGGAGGCGGGTTTATTGTCAATAGACTTATTTTAACTGCTCAGAGAATGCCAGGCACGCTGGTTTCTCCACCCTGAATCGACTGCCACCTCCCACTGCAGGTCTAGAGAAGAAGGCAGGATCAGTACCAGCCTCACTGCAGAGATGTGGGAAATAGTAGGCTGTGAGAGCATTATTATTATTACTATTATTATTATTATTATACAATTGTATCACAGTGGCCAGTTGTTTCGCTGGATTTGGCATTGTTATTATTGTATTAGCGTTATTATTGTTATTATTGTTATTATTGTTATTATTGTTATTATTGTTATTATTGTTA